ACTCCCCCCCAACCCCACGACACACCGCACCAATACTTACAGCCCCGCTCGACGTCCTGCGGGGAGACCGCTGTACTGGCAGGGCACTGGCGGGCGCCTGGGGCACAGGGCCCTCCGCAAAGCACCGCAGCGCCCCCCACCCACACACGCCCCGACAAACCGAGGCGCCCCACTCCGGTGGCAATTGCGATCCGCAACCCTGGACCGGGTCTGCTAACCGGAGGCTGACTGCTTGCCATAGGGGCCGTCCTGTGTGTTGGGCCGTTAGTGCGGGCTGGGCGGGGAGGATGAAGGGGCGGCACGCCGGCCTGCTGGTGATGGGGGCCTCCGGGTGGGGGATGGCGGTGTGGGCGGTGGCCAAGTTCCACGCCAGGCGGCGCTGGCGGGCGGTGCCCCCGCTGGTGCTGCGCCCCTGGTGGTGGGCGGTCGTGTTCCAGATCGCCGTGTACGTGTCCCTGGGGCTGGCGCTGGAGGCCGGCCTGGCGCGCCACTGCCGCATCGCCCTGGTGACCTTCCTGGCCCTGGCGTCGGTAAACACCGAGCGGTTGGCGGAGCTGATGCTGCAGATGCGGCCGGGCGGCCGGAGCAGCTGGGCGGCCGAGGGCGATGACGCGAGCGCAGCCCGCGTGGGGGCCGCGGGCTTCATCCTCTGCACGCTGGTCAACTTCCTGTTCATCATGGCGCTGGGATCCGGGGAGTGGCGGGAGGGGTGGGACGTGGGCAGCAGCGCCAGCGGCTCGTCGCGCTTGGGCGCCTCGGGCCCGCTGGCTTCGCCTGGCCGGCGTGCGCCCGTGCTCGTGGCCGATCCGGACGGCACCTTCGCCATATCCATGGACACGTCCTGACTTTTCTTTTCGCCTTTCTTTTTTGGGGCTCCTTCTTTGTTCCTGGGAGCTGACGGGCGTCGAAGCGATGACGAGGGGGGGTGGGGTGACGGATTGTCGTCAGGGAGCGGGCGGGAGGATTCGTCGTTGGCCACGGGGCGTTGGCAAACGGGGGGCGCAAGGGATTGCGTTATGGGGTCGGGGGCGGGATCTGACACCGGGGGCTGCCGCGAGGGCAGCGGCGTGCCCCGGCGAGCATATGCGGAGGGACCGCGTTGGCACAAGGTGGGCAAGCGGGCGGGGTGGAAGGGGGGGAGGTTTGGTGGGATGGCATCCGTGGTTCGTACCGCGTGCGGTGAGGATTCGCGGCGGAGTGGCGGTTGGAGGAGCGGGGAGGGCGGGTGGAGCGGCCCGCGCTGCCCGCCTGGGCTGCGGGAGTCACAGATAGTGGAGCCGCGCTCGGGGGAACGGAGCGGGTGCGCTTGTGTTGACACCCGGTGCGCGAGCGGAGATGGGCATACGACATTTCCTGGTCTACAATTTTGCGTTCACAGGTTCCCACAATGCGGTTTTTGTTTGACCAGGTTGGTATTTGCGCGGGACAGTATCCTGGGTGTGCTTTTGACTTGCTTCACGGCGGGGTATTGTGTACAGTATTCTGTTGCGAAATGAGAAACGATGCATTGGTTTGGGGCGTTGGCGGCTCAGGGGATGGGCACCCCATGGGCCGGCAGGACCACGAGATCCAAAGAACGATGGTTTACAACGGCTAATGTATAGGTCATGTGGGGCCTGACTACGCAAGATGGAGTCTCCCATTCTTGTTTTGAGCACCTCGATCGTCCATGCGTACCGATGCCCAGATTGACCACGACAGGGCAACCCAATCTCATGCCGTAGTACATCATACCATTGTGCATGGTTACGCATTTCATGCCCCAACAGAGAAATAATCAACACCCTCGTTTCGGCCCAGGTCTGAATGGCACCATAGTTGCACCACACATTGCTCAGCAACGAACGGGCTGTTTTTTCCCGGGTGAGCCCTGCGTTGTTCCAGGTGTCACATCAAACATGGCTTGATTTGTTTGTTTGCGTTGTGTAAGCATGCAGTCACAGGAAGCAACGTTTAATGAAAGACAATCGCCTTGCTCACCGTTCGCCTTTACATACCGTGCCACAACAGTGCAGTGCGCGCTTTCTCCCATCGCAACCATCGGCCTGTGCCCTCCCGGCTGGGAGTTTGTGACAGAGGATGGCATCCATAGGTGGTGCGGCTGGAGTCCAATCGTGGCCGCCATTGCAGCCGCCTTCCCAGTGGATGGACCTGCGCTTGTGCAGCAAAGACGTGCAGCTTCAGTTTGCATCGGCACACACATCTGCAATGGCCATTCCCTCTCAAGCTCAGCAAACCATGAGGGTAATTTAGGAATTGCGGAATTGCAATTGAAGCTCCGCTGCATCCTCACTCGACCTCATAGCAAACACCCGCACACACCAGCGGCCCATCCAGCCCTCCCCAGGCGTTCACCAACAGGGTTGAAATCCCCCGTGGGGCGCAATTTTATTCCATCCCGTCGTCAGGCAGCTAGCCAGGTACTGTAGCCTCGCTTGCAGCTTTGAAGACGAGTTCCTTGGGGCCAGTTTCAGCTTGTGTCCTTGTGTCTTTTGGGAATGGGAATACACATGACTGTTTGGGAAATGTTCCTCCATGGCTATCTCTCCGTTGCGTTCAGTGCTTTCGCTCGTGTGTTAGCATATATTCAATGTTTTGCTGCTCTGGTTTGATCGGCAGGCTGGGAGTGAACAAAGGCTTCTGAGTATGGATATGCTACGTTTGCACTCAGTGCATTGTCATTTGTGATCGTTTTACTGGGGCCCAGGTTTATACAATTCCGCGGAAAAGTGGGACTGGAGCATCGTCAGTCTGTGGTGCAACCATCTTCACAGTGTGTCTTGTGCAGGAAGGCAAATAAGACGCACACATTGGCATCACCATACGGGCACAATAACTGGGGGAACCTGGAAAATTTTAGAGACTCTCTAAACAGCTGGGCAGCACACTGGGGGAGTGCCAGAAGAATCCCTGCCTCACACCGTCGGGCAATTCCCGCTTTCCCTACAACAACTCGTGCTTTTTGCGTGCGTTGGTGTAGGTTCTGCATTCTTGGCGGTGAAAAGAGGTGTGTATTGTTGTCCCGCGTGCAGCACACGCCACACTAGAAATGCACCAGAAATGCATCCCACCATCGTTGACCATGCTGCACCTCAAGGACCCTGGGCCAGTGTTCTTAACTCTGCCTCCTTGCTCTCTATGTGCAGCTTTATCTTTGGTCCCGAATGGGGAGATCAACATAGCAATGGGTGATAGGCGGGTCACAAACATAGCGGACGGCCACATGACATCATTTGGAACAGACTTGGTGAGTATGCGTTCTGTTTACCTTGATGCAAGACACAGCAGTTGCACATAGCGTCAGGGTTCACACTATCCGTTTTCACAGCATCACAAAGTCCAGAGGCAGTGCGAAACACCGACGTCTGAAACCCATACAAATTCCCTGACCATTACAACCCCAAATTCAGGTGTGTTCATCCCGTCATATCGTTCAGGAATGCACTCGTCGCCTCCCATCAAGACGCTTTTCTAATGAAAGGCTTGCTTCCAAATCGGTACAACGTACAGCTCCAGGAAATTCGAAAAGGGTGATCATCACAACAGTATGATGATAAAAATTTCACAGGTGAAAACATAGTGAAAATAGAGGGGTGGGGGGCTTTCATTCCAACAATCACCATTAGCATACATGTTGGTCAGTCTCGATCCACAGGTCCCCAGACAACTCCGCCCACGCACATCCTCTCAAAATCTATTCCCTCCCACATTTCTTATTCGCAGAAATCAGAGGGGCCAGGTTGGTGTGGTCACCCACACATTTCAACTCCAGTTCACATCCAGTTCAAGCTGTTGTTCGCGTTCTCACTCCGCGCAAAAAGCAGTCGCTCGTGGGAGTGCAGCAACCGATTCAACACCACACAGTTATTGCCACAGCTGTCCAAATGCTGTGACTAGTCATCGGCTCTGAGCAGTATTCAGGACCAGTACGGGTGGCCACCAGCAGCAACCTGCGGCCCAACACAATAAAATCGAACTTTGAGCTCTTTGGGAGTTTCCTGTGAGAACGTTGGGACCAGCAGTGTCACCCCACAACTGGGTGATTGTCAACAAGTTGGGGTTGTTTGATTGCATTCGACAATTCTCATGCCTTCAGGATGTTCAGATGACAGCTTGCTCAACGGCACACACACACACACACACACACACACCATTGGTGCACAGCAGGCACGTTGATGGCCCTGCCGCAGTTTGTCTGCCACGCTACCAGGCAATGACTTGAGTCACCCCGGGGTCCCCGATACCTGGGGCCCATGAAATGATGTTTCGATTGGCCGACATTCAACTTCCCAAAAAGACGGTGTGGGCAGCGAATGTGAGATGCCTGACGGCACGACGATCTCTTATCTCACACCCGTGCAACTTGTGCCCTCCTCTAAACGGCTTCAAGGCACAGCACCAAACCGGTGTGCTCCATATCACCCATAATCCAGCGGAACGACCGCACGCGATCGTACTTCCAAACAGATCTTCACAGACGCACAGAACAGGGTGTCCATCTGAACGGCAACGATCCCGGAATTGGATGGTGGCCGACACTGTCACCCCTACCCAAGCCCGCCCTCCGCTGACCATCCGCCAAGCCAATCCCACATCCCGGGCACCGCCCGCCAGTCCGCGCCGCGGCCCGGCGCGCTCTCCCCGCCCCCGAGAACGACACAAACCGAACGAGAACCACCCTCGCGCCGCACCACAGCACCACACCCCGCCAGCGGGACGCGGCGCCACGCCGGGAGGCTGCGCGCCCCTCCGCAAACGCGGCGAGGCGTGACGCACGGCCTGCATGTCGGTCTGGACAACACCGCTGACAGGCTGACGCCGACATCCGCTTGACTAATCCAGTGGAGGTCACCATCACCGCGCTTGCGCGCCAGGACCTGCAGCCCCGACAGGCTCCCGGGGATCGCGTCGCGCGGCAACCCAGCCAAACCCTCCTGCGCCGGAGCCCGCCGCGGGAGGAAAAACTTTCCCGCTGCGCGCCCGCCCACCTCCGGGCCTCTCTAGGCCTGCTCCACGGGGTGAGCCTCCGGCCCCTTCTCCCTGGTCAGCCTCCACCCCTTGAGCGGGTTGGCCGGCATCCTGAGCTCCGCGAACAGGTCGACGCATCCCAGGATGAAAATGTAGAGGTAGTTGCAGCCCACCAGCACGATGTAGCCCGCCACCACCTCCTCCACCCGGTCATTGCTTATCCGGATAGTCCGCACGCCCAAGCCCCCCCCCGTGGCACTGGTGATCAGCACGGTCTCGAGATCGCCGACTCTCCCGTCGCCGGTCCTGTTGAGGAGCATCGCCTCGGCGGCGTCCTCCAGGTTGACTGCCGCCAGCACAAGGAAGGCCAGCAGGGCGAACCTCGCCTTGTTCACCACGCCCAGCAGGTAGCAGATCAGGAAGAAGAGCAGGACCCCCGTCTCCTGGATGATGGCCCAGTAGAAGGGCCTGTAGAGCGCGTTGCAGGGATCGTCCACATCGCAGTCATCGTCAAGACGGCCCAGGGATATCCAGGTGAGCAGCCAGCCCGCCAGGCACAGCAGCGAGGTGAGTAGGGCCGTCCAGGACCTGACCGACTTCACCTCGAAACCCGCCATGGGGACGCGGAGGGGGCCGGGGGGGGGGGGGGGGGGGGGGGGGGGGGGGGGGGGGGGGGGGGGGGGGGGGGCGGCGAGGCCAGAGGTGCAGCGAGGATCTGTTGGGTTTACGGGGAAGGTGGGCGTGATATGGGAGGAGCTGGGAGGTCGACAAGGTCGCGCTGACAGGGGGGCTGATGTGGAGCGCGTGGGGCCCAGGGCGCCCGCCATCAAGCTTCCGCCAATCAGGCGGCCGCCGAGCGCTGTTCAACTTTGTGCGTATGTTGGGCGTGGTTGACAGACCCTTGGGCGTGCTTGGCCGCCTTTGGGTCGCGGTGCCTGACGCCTAATGGTTCGTGGTGCGCACGTGTGCCGAGCACGGCCTTACGCCAGGCGAAGCAACCCCAGGTGCGGGGCGGGATCGCCGTCGCGTGAGGCGATGAGTATTTCTGCGTGAGAATTTCTGCATGAGAATCTGCATGCCAGCCATTTTGCGGATGAGGAATCAGTGGGCTCATGGGCGCCAGCCACATTCTTGTTGTAAGTTGCCCAAGAAATCATTTTCATGGCCAAATGCTTTCTTCAAGATGGTACGTACTTTCAAGAAAAGCAATTTTTTTAGCTGCATTGTACACCTCAGCGTGGGGCCAGGTCATGCATGAAACTGCACGGCTTGGCACAAGGGGCGCGAGGTCCGACAGCTGATGTGCAGGGGACTCCAAAAAACAAAACACAGACAGAAGTATGCAAAAAGTACTTGCTGTTTGGAATTACAACTTTGGCCCAGCCTACTGCCCGTTGTCCTGCCATGGCCAGTCATGGTCCCGGCCGTCACATACCGAGGACGCACGACGTCTGCCTCACGCATTCGAACACTGGCGCTGACCCTAGCCATCATCCACTCGATTAGTCACTCACTACCTAGCACACCGGCCCAGACTGTTCCTACCGCCCTGCGATCATTGCAGCGCCAACTGCACGTAGTAAGCATGGACCTGCCACTTGTAGCAACCACACGTAGTGTTACGCAGAGACACCCACCCACTGCGATGCTGTTGACGCACTGTATGCCACACCCAGGGGTGGCCACTTCGTACATAAAGTAAGGGGCCCCGCCATTCTGTAAAAAGTTTGTACAAACTACGGAACGCCAGGCCTTCTGGATGACGTGTAACGAAAAGTTACGAACCAGAAAAGAAAATCACATATTTTGGAAAACCTGCGGACGGCAACAGGTGCAAAACTTGGTAACTTTTGTTAAAAACTTAGCCAAGGGTGTCAATATGAGTGTGTTAAATGCCCTCAAAATTTGGTGCCAAACGGACATGTTCTATGTGTACGGCGGCTGTTTAAACGTAACTCGGCCAGAAAGTTCAAATCTGATGGAAGCAAATCGAAAAATGTTCCTCGGCTTCCCATGTCTGGCGGTAGCTTGCTCGGCCTCTTGCCACAGACGGGCTCTCTTGTTACCAGCGTGCTGGCTCCACCCTTCTGTTGGATAGACTTCGAGTTTGTTGTGCAATCCTCGGAGGACCCTTGTAGACTGACACCATGCCCAAATCAAACTGGGTGGTACAATGACATCGGTGTCTGTCTGAGTGCTTTTATCTTGAAAGGACCTCAGCATCTCCTACCCCAGGACAGCCTTATCATACTCAAGGTATTGAGCCTTTGCCATGCACGCATGTTCCCACACCCAGATTTTGTCCGATTTGCATGGGAGTTTGAATTTATTACGCAATTGTAATAGAGATCGGCGTTCGCCAAAACTACCAGTCGTGAAAAATTCGGTCGTTAGTTTTCTGCTGAAATCCAGCCGAAGTCGTCAACTTCAATTTAACAGTAGTGAACTACTGTTTCGTCCATTTGACTTATCACATTATCTTTTCCACCAGTCATTGTCGTTAAGCTGGCCGCCAAAACCTTTACTGGATCGTTAATATGGCCAACATGTTTTTACCGGAAATCGTTGGCCGACGAGAAAAGCCACAAGTTGCGTTTTGACCGCTATGTTTTTTCCTCTAGATTTGAATTCCTGTCCGAGTTGCCTTATTTCAAGGAGTCGCCATACATGCGGAACTTATGACTTCGGCACAAATATTTGAGGGCAACTTACAACTCATATTAGCGACCCTGATTAAAATTTCAAGACAACATAACAACTTTCAAACCTGTTGTCGTCCTTAGATTTTCCGTATAGTGTGTTTTTTCCTGCCAGATTGAGTTTCTGGCCGAGTTGCGTTACTGCAAAGAGCCGCCGTACATGCAAAACTTACACGTTGGACACAAAGCTTTGAGGGTACTTGACAAACTCGTGTTGACATCCTTGGCTAAAATTTCAAGTAAAATAACAAGTTTGAAAATTATTGCTGTCCCCAGGTTTCCCGTATACTGTGATTCTTTTCTGATTCGTAACTTTCCTTTACAAGTCACCCCGCTGGTACCGCTCCGGATCGTAGATGGCCCCCCCATTGTCGATGGCTATTGGAAGAGGCACATTTAAGGGGTGTATCTACCGGCCAGTGTCATTACCGGGGGGGCAAAGACCTTTGGGTAATCTTTAATTCAGTGGCTGTTCCAGGAATACCGGTCTGCCGTTCAATGGGCGGCTGGGGCCGTCAAATACCTTTAGCATTAATGTTAATATACGGTACTGGCTGGACCGTTATTTATCTACCGGTAGTGCCGACAATCCGTGATCCGCTCTGGCCGAAATCCAAGTTGTGGTCATGTAACTAAGCGATCATCCCGCCTTGCAGCATGAGCCACTGGCTGAAGGCCATACGCAGCGCCACATGCCCCAGGCAGGTGTAAGGCTGCGCCAACTCCACCAGTATGCGCCACCATCAGAAATGCTCTGTCATAATAGGTCCGAAGATGGGGTTCCATGTGTAGGGGCCACTGTACTGGGCACAGTGTGCATTGCCTCATGCGTCCACGCCGTCGATTCCGTAAAAAATCTGCAAAAATTACGGACTGTCAGGGCCTCCGGGTCACGTGTGACGGAAAGTTACAAACCAGAAAAGAAAAATCACATTTTACAAAAAAACTGCGGATGGCAACAGATCTAATGTTTGTTATTACTTTTTCTGAAATTTTAATCAAGTGCATCGATATGAGTGTTTTGGATGTCCTCGAATCTTTGTGCCGAACGGATAAGTTCTGAGTGTAAGGCCCCTCTTTAAAGTAACGTAAATCGGCCAGAAAATTCCAATCTGACGGAAGAAAATCGAAAATACGGATTGGAAAACCAAACTGACGGAAAAATATCCGATTTTACGAAAGAAGGAAATTCCAATACATCGCGAGTGGAAACGCACGGACGGCATCCCCATATGGCCCACTCTCTTTGGAACCCATGTCCATTGTGACTGCGGAGTCACAGCCCAACCAGACCTTGCCCGCCAGGGTAAACGGTACCCCCATCCATATCCATGTGCACCAGCAAAGCGCACTCGCTTCAAAGTCCCACACTCACCACACCAGCATCCTCTTGTTGCCAGCGGCGAACCATCCCACCACAGCAGCCCACCAGAAAGCCAGCGTGATTCGTGTGGCGTTAGCCATGCCGTGCGGTAGGTGCGTGGGTCGAGCTGGAAACATTTGTGATGGCGGTGTCCTTTGTATCAGAGGATTTGAGCGGGATCTCACATGATCATCTTTGCGCGCTCTGGCTCACGTCTTGTCAACTCTTAGTGACAGCTGTACATCTTCCATCCCTTGTTGCAGCTGGTGATCCGCGGGGGTTGCACCGAGGCTGCGAGGGCTCGGGGTGCCGGCAAACAACTTCTTTGCAGCAAGAGAGTGCTCTATAACAAGATACATTATTCATAATTTGCTGCGGAATTCTGAGGGGACAGATGTCCCGCCGCATTCGCCAGCTGGCCACAATACATTATACACATGGTGAGCCCTCTATTGTATGTTGTGGCACCTCATTTGCTTCATTGGTGGCAGAGATATGGCCTAGGCGACCGGCCAGTAGTTGGAGACAGTGCTGAGACCTAATTGTACATTGGGTTGAGGAGTGTTGCTCCAGAGCTTTGCTCCCTACGCGTGTACATTGACGTGAGGTTCAGGGGCTGCTGCACGACCCATTGCCAGTATATGTGTGGTTGGTACGTACGCACATTCACTAGGAGAAAAAGGGCCAAATAACACGTGTTCAAACGTGTACAAAGTTTACGGGTTTGTGTTATTTTTGTGTTCTTAGCGTGTAAAACTATGATGAAATGTGTTTTATGTGTGTTCGCAAAAGCGTTATTTGGCCCTTTTTTTCCTAGTGATTGTGCAATCTCCATCAGGGTCTGACCGCTGCACCCGTAGCAGCTTTCAGCACCCGCCATGACCGAACTTTGCAAGGCCACAGGGCCCTGGGTACCCACCACAGGAATTAGACTCAAACGTGCTTACCCTGAAGCAGCGCGCGCCCCAGAGAAGCAGGCTCAACCCGGGTCGAGGAAGCCGCATCGGTGGCCGAATCGGGTGCCGCAGGAAGCCACCGCTGGGAACACAAGAAAGAACGCAACAATTGCCGTTACTTTATCACAATAAGTGCAGCAATTAAGCTAACTGGTGAATCAAAGTGCAGTTCGAATTACCAGTAGTTGATCACTGATCTTCCTCCGCCAATTACTGATCTGTTATCCGATGGTTAAATTGTGGAATATGAGAATCCTGTTTCGATGACTGCTATCAATGGCTATCACCTTTCTCGTTGTTTCACATGCAACTTTCCAGTTCTCATGACTGAAGGTCGGTGGCCGAACACTGATGTGCATTGAAACTCAACGAGAAAATTCAACACAGCTGTGTCTGCAGACTAAAGAGTAAGTTTAAGGAGATGAAATCCGAACACACCAGGACAGCAGCAACTACCATGTTGCGCAAGCACCTGGCCATATGCTGGATGACTGTTGCACACACACACACACCTGATTCAAATGGCGAGAGAACGGTTGGCCAACAATCAGCTTCAATCTTACTAATTTTGGTCATGGTGAGTTGGTACTATGAGTTGG